TTGGTCCTCCGCGATACAAGAACGGTCTCGGTGGTTCCTCCCGGCGACACCCGACGTCCGGCGCTTCTACAGATGGTGGCGGCTGGAGAAGGGAAATGGAGAGGTGACGGCTGAAGTTTAGAGCATTTAGGGTTAGGGTTGCAAGTGACAGGGATAACACGGGTTATATACCCGGTTCTTAAACATAATCCCATAATAACAAGAATGGTCCCTCTTCCTCTATTTTCTTTCAAAACTAATCCTTAATTTACAATCTAAACCCTCCCTTCTGAAATCCTTGCATATTGAGTCCAAGTAATTACCATATGGCCCCTCCATGACCAATTAATTTCAACTTAGGTACGTAATTTACCATTTTAGCCCCAGCCATTCCAGACCCTTTCAATTTAAGTCCAATATTATTCTTTAATCCCTGAAACTAACATTCCAATAATTATTAATTGATCTTGGACTATAATAGTGTTAGATACATTTCATGCATTCATTTTGTAGTTTTAGTTCATAAAAGTGCATTGCATTTAGGTTTAAACTCATGCATTTTGCATATTTTTCGGGATTTTTCATGATGCAATTCCATTCACACACTTTTATGATATTTCAGGGACTTTTGAAGGTTGGATCTTGATGGAGGAAGTTAAAAAGAGTTGGAGATAAAGTTTCAGAAGTTTTGGAGCATTGAAGAGAGAGAGAATGAAGAAATGAAGATTTGATCCTTTCAGACATTTACACGGCCATGTAAATGATGGCTTATAGTTTACACGGGCCGTATAAACGCATATGCAAGAGCATTCTACTTTTCTTGTTTACACGGTCGTGTAAATGGCACCCTTTAATTTACACGGGCCGTGTAAACGTCTCGACAGTTTTTAAAGTAGTTTTACTCTCATATAATTGAGACAATCAGTTTTGTTGGAGGTTAGGTCGGATTTTGGGCAGAGAGAAGGCGATTTTCAGAGCTTTTGGAAGTAGATTAACACTTGGAAACACTTTAATTTCCTTTTTGTAAGTAAATTTGAAGTTTAAACTTGTTTGATTTGTAGTTTAACCTAGACATGTGTGGTTGATTTCAAAATCATTTCCGAATCTGAATTCTTAAGTATGTGTTGTTAGGTTGTAACTTGAACTTGATTTGTGTTTAACATCTAGTAATCTTTGATTTGATCTTAATCAAGTGTTTGGTTTATTCTCTTTTTCACTTGATCAATGAATTAGGGTTTTTATCAATCTAGTTAATCAAATTGTAAAATTCGTATATGTTTTATGATTTGATGTTAGTAACATGCACTTAATTGATTGGAATTGAATCAAACTGAGTGTAATCAAAGATTAAATGTTCATAATCCCAAGCTTATGAGGAATATTGAATATTGTTGGTAATTGTTGCAAGAACTTAAAGTCATTTAATGATTTAAAGAAAGAGCTTATTTGAATTAAATCAATTAAATGAAGTTTTATTTGAAGAACATGTTTTGAATAAAACAATTTTTGTCAACTTAGATATTAGAGTTTATTAGTATCTAAATTACCAACCTAGATAGAACATAATCATATTCATTTTGCATCTTTCAACATAATACATGTATAAGAATCAGAATCGGAAATGTATTTCTTTTACTAAATTCTGTTAACAATCTTGTTTATTTATGAAGTTTAAATCTAGTTCTAACACAATCCCCCATTTTAATATTATTTGTATTATGTGTGAAAATATGGCAAGATAAGAAGTCCTGTATTCCTGTGGACCGACCCTGCTTACTCTATACTATATTTAGTATAAGAAATAGCAGTGACTTGAACTTTATTAATATTCTTTATCCCATTATTTGTTGGTTTGACAGCCAAACAAATAGTATGAAATAATCATAATAATTACTTCCCGGGGTTCCTGATTTATTATTTAATTATTCTATTTTAAACGGGATGTTACATCAAGTACATACCAATTATAGTTATGGGCTTAGACACTAAATCCAACAAGAATGACCATTATTGACATCAGATCCGGATGGAGAATCGATTGATCAAACTCTATATTGATCCATGATTGGCTCTCTGATGTATCTGACCGCTAGCAGACCATATATAGTTTTTGCAGTTTGTCAATGCGCGCGCCATCAGGCTAATCCTAAACTTTCTCATTTAATTGCTGTCAAACGAATTTTTAGGTACTTTAGAGGGAAACCTAAATTGGGTCTCTAGTATCCCAAATTTAATTTATCTCAAAAGTTTATTTTATTTTTATTTTTATCTCAAAAATTTAATTTGTCTTAAAACACAAATTCAAAAGAAGAAGAGACTGAAGGAGACTGTGTCAGAATTTTCTGTAAAAAAAGGAGATCTTGAAAGGAATTGACGGAATTTCACTTCACACTACCTTCACACGGAATTGAAGGCATGAAACCATACAAATTGTCAGCCAGGCAGTTTCTTTCTAAAGAACTATCGTATTCACGGATATGAAGGCATGAAACTGTACAAACTGTCAGTTAGCCAGTTTATTTCTATGAACTGTCGTATTTAAGGAATTAAAAGTTTGAAACTGTACCAGATTGTCAAAATTGGTCTTGTCAGTTATCTTTACCTAAGAACTGTCACGGCACCAGGGCGATTCACCCAACCAGAAAATAGATATCGCTGAACATCCCGCCCAGGGTCATGACATTCTTTTGTCATGCAAAACTGTGGAGACTCTAATGTATTCTCGGATATGTTCTTCGCAGGTAAGGAATTAACGGTTATTGGCACTTGGGCGATGCACCTCGCAAGGCATGATTATCGCTGAATGTCTCGCCAAAGGGCCTTAAACTCGTGTCATGCTAAACTGTGGAAATATGTCTTCGAATATTTTGTCACATGATGGTCTTGTGAGTTATTCCTAATTAACTCTCACTGGCACTAGAATGGTACACTCAGTTGAGATTCAGAAATCATTGAACGTCTTGCCAAGGGCCAAGTTAACTTGTTAACTTGAAAAACTGTATTGAGATCTTTGATCGAGGATATACAGGGGCTAACATCAAAATAGCCACGAGTAGTTCTCCGATACTCAACAAATCGCAGTGCGTTCCTCCGTGTTCACATAGATACTGTGAGTAGTCTCCATCTGATCCAAGGTTGGGCCCTTGAATAACTGTGGTGAGAAGGGTCTTTATGATTCTGTGATCCACAAGGAATTTTTAGTCATGGTTACATTTTAAGACACATTTGTGATCGATAAAGAATTTTCATTCGAAGGAACAAGAAGTGAATATTATCTTTCAACACACAACCTTTCAACCCGAGAAGCAAGCTAAAGTTGTATTTGAAGTTATGTGTTAAATTGAATTGAAGCCTCCTCAATCAACTTGCTGCTATCTATGAACTTACAGAAGTGATCCAGAAGAATCGATCTCTCTATAATTATTTCTGAAGTTTCTCAAAGCTGAAAGTGCTGATTTTCAAGAACCTATACAAGAAGCCTCTATTCCCAATGTGCGTTCAAAGTCAAATTTTAAAGGAAATCCAAATATTCAAGATGAAGTCATTCATGCAGAAATTCATATGTTCATCTTGAAGTTGTGAGGAAATTGAAGATAAATGCTGAAGGTCAAGAGAAAAGAGAAGACTGAAAAGAATAGAAAGCTATAAACCAAGGGGGAGATTGTTAGGACATGATTTATGGTTTATACTTTACTTTTGATGACTTTTAGAGTTCTCGGTCTAGGACCGAAAACACCATGTTTTCGGTGGTGTTTGGACCGAAATCACCATGTGATTTCGGTGGGCTTAGTAAGGATTTCGGTTGGGTTTTGGGCTGGGCCTTTGTAATTAGGTCTACGTATATATATAGTATTGTTTCAGCCGTGTAAAGTGTTGGTCATTCCAAGAAGCTGAGATCAAGTTTTATAGAGAGTGAGAACTGAGAGTAATCAAGAATCTTATGTACTAGAATATTATTCAATATAGTGTGCATTGAAGATTTGTTAACTGTGTTCTTAATTCGATATAACCGTTTTTCGTTAATCATTGAATTGAGATTCCGCTCCAACTCTAGTGACTTCGATTAATACTTAATATCGGGTTTTACAATCCCGTAATATGTGGTCTTGCAAAACCCAAGATTGGGCCCTTGAGACAACAAAAGCATATGAGGTAGCCTCTACTGCCGAGTATAAACCCAAACATCAAAACCTAATGGGTAAGGAAGCAATTCGCCACTGTATGTCACCAAAGAAAGGGCCATCACAAACCACAATATCCTCAATCGCCTCGCGCAACCCATTGTCAAAGAATATTGCCGCCTCCTCCATGTGAACTGGTTGGCACGTCCTCAGCCCAAGAAAAAGCTTAGTAATACCCATACAAGACCGAAGTAGAAAAAGCTTAGTTTCTAATGAATCTAGTATATATATATATATATATATATATATATATATATATATATATGTGTGTGTGTGTGTGTGTGTGTGTATCACAATTCTCTATTATCGGGTTTCATTTTTTTGTTCAAGCTATAAACGGCAACGCCTTTATGTTTCTAGCTAATAAATAAATTCCAATCCAAGCTCTCATTGTGGAAATCTAAAACACTCTCTTTCGGGGTCAGTTGACCTTAGTGAAATCAGTGTTAGGGAATCTCCCCACATACTATTTATCCTTGTTCAAAGCACCAATCGGGGGTGATTGAAACATTAGAAAAGATTCGAAGGAAGTTCTTATGGGGAGGGCATGAAGGCAAAAACAAGATTCATTGGGTATCATGGGATAAAGTAATTGACTATAAATAAAATGGTGGCCTTGGTGTTGGGTCAATTCGGGCCTTGAATATTGCAGTTGTAGTCAAATCTGAACCCAACTCCTTGTGGAGTCAAATCATAACCTGGATACAACATCTACAAAATAAACCAGCTGAGTACTTGTCAAATCAACGTATCAAGGGGGTGTGGAACAATGTGGCTAACACTAAAAAAGACTTAATTGGTTTTGGTTTAAACTTTGAGAAGGTTTGTAGGCAAAAAATCATGTCTGGTGATAGAAAGAAAATCTGGCAAGATGTATGGCGCGGTGATAAGACCTTAAAGACAGAGTTTCCATCACTATACATTTTAGAGCAGAAAAAGAAGTGGAATGTTGCAGAAAGAATTTATGAACTTAGGTTCAATTGGCAATGGAAAACTGACCCGGTCAATTTAGGTCTTTATGATGAGCTTGGCTGGTTACAAAGGGCTATGGATAACATTAGAATTCAACATGGGTCGGATAGTTGGATGTGTCCTCTAGCAGCAGATGGCAACTTCACAGTGGCGGCTATAAGGAGAAGAATAGATTTTCAACCTGTAAACACCACACTGCAATCTATGGTGATTTGGAGCAAATCAATTCCTCTGAAAGTTACATGTTTCGTATGGCGAGCATGCCTTGGTCGAATCCCTTCGGCAGTAGCATTGATGAACAGGGGCGTAAACGTCGGATCAACCTCTTGTGGATCCTACATTGGTGGTGAGGATTGTGTTGATCACTCTCTAGTTACATGTCTGTTCGCTAACAGAGTGAGAGCATACATTCTTGACTGGTGTGACATTAATACAATGATAACTCAAAGTGTTGGTGAATTGATTAACTTTGCAGCTTCCTGGGGGAGATGTTCTCAGAAAAGGGAGAAATTAATTTCCATCTATTACGGTATGGTTTGGGCTTTATGGAAGATTAGAAACAACATATTGTTTAGGGGAGATTTCGTTTATCCCTCTAGAGTGGTAGAAAACATTAAGTCAATGGTATTCCAATGGCTCAAACACAGGGGTAATTTGGGTATTGATAGTTGGGTTGAGTGGCAACATTCCCTTTTTTTTTTCCTATGTAACAGTACTCTTGTTGTTCTTTTTTTTTTCTTTGTTTGTTCCCCCTATGGTTCCTTGCTTGTTGTGGGTTCCTTTAATAAAATGGCCGTTTCCAAAATAAATACACAACCATGGTTGACATTGTGAAATAGCGAGCATTGGTTTTGTTATTGTCCAATACGGGGGAAATTCATTGTGCCTTCGTAAATGTCGTCACCAAATCCATACTCTCTAGTGGAAGTTATATGCCTTCATGTTTTTGTGCACAAACGGTCTAATTGCAAGTAGTAAAAAAGTGGAAGTGTTAGTTCGTTTATGTGTATCGCATGACCTAAAAAGCTATAAATGCAAGTTATCTTTATATTGTAATGCGTCGTTTGTGGAATGGATAAAATGACCCCTAATCGAATAGTTTTGGATTCAGAAGTGAAAGAAATCATTTTATGTACTAATAGTGGACAAATTGGCGTATTACCAAATCAAGCTCCTATTGCCACATTAGTAGATATAGGTATTTTGAGAATACGCCTTAACGACCAATGGCTAACGATGGCTCTGATGGGCGGTTTTGCTAGAATAGGTAATAATGAGATCACTGTTTTAGTAAATGATGCAGAGAAAAATGGTGACACTGATCCACAAGAAGCTCAACAAACTCTTGAAATAGCGGAAGATGCTTTGAGAAAAGTTGAAGGAAAGAGACAAACAATTGAGGCAAATTTAGCTCTCCGACGGGCTAGGACACGGGTAGAGGCATATTATTCCATGTTCAGTTATTGATATTATTATTGCTTTAGATTTTTTTCCCTCATAATACTTGTCTAAAATCCATCAAACTAAATTACCATTTAAGAAAAAATAAAAAATGTAAAGCATATTATTCCATGTTCTAATGTTGATGTGTTGATATTATTCATTGTATATATTTTGAATGGGATATGTATCTTTTAACATGACATTAACATTTCCATACAAATGACCTTAATCAAAAGACATTACCATTATCATACGTCATAATAGTTTAGAGACAAAATTACAGAAATAGTTATGTGGTTTGCCGATTTCTTTGAGGAAGGTCCAAAAAAAAGTTTGCTAGCAAAAAAAAAAAAATCCTTATTTGGTGTTTGAGTTGTGGATTTTGGTCCTTTCCTCTAATTGTCGTTAGAGGCATGTCATTTTCTTCCCCACGTGCCCCGGACACAAGGGCATTTTCGTATTTTTATTTACGGGGGCAGTACTCATCTATTACCACGCATATAACGATATCTAAACGATTGGGCACTTTTCACATTCTTTCTCATTTAATTGCCATTAAGGTGCTAACCCTAACTCAACGATTTTCCCTCAAATCCTTTCTTGAGTTGAGCTGCAGTCCGACAGCTTGAAGAAAAAAATGGTGCTTTCACTGTGGACGATACGACCTACGACGATGAGATTTTGTAAAAAAAGACACATAAATACACAACCTTCCTAATTTTAACAATTTCATTTATAGTTCGATTATACACGACTCTTACCACTCAATACCTCACTAAAACCTACCTCTACTCTCAATATGAAAACACTCGGTTACAAGAATCAAGAACAGACTACATGAAACTCTAAGTTGAAAAAACCCTAAGACTGAACGGTGTGGGTAACGCCCACTTCCGTTATCGTGACATGGCATCCAAAAAATGGCTTGTTAATGTCAGAACACCACCCCACCTTTCCTGTTCTCCGTCATTATTAGCTCTCTTATTGCCTCCCGTTGCTCCCATAACGAATCGTAACGCCACAAAATGTATTGAAACAGTCGGTTTTTTGACCGTTTGTGAACGGTCGAAAAGTTAAAAAAAAATGTTTTTTTTATCTATTTACTCTCTCTCTCTCTATATATATATATATATATCACGTACATAATTCTTCTTCTTCTTTCATTTTATATACAAAAAACAACCACATTTTTTTCAACCAATCTATGGAGCAAAACCCGAACACCCCTCCTCTAAACACATCCACATCCGTTCCAATGGGGTTCGCACAATATGAGACTTATATGAACTACTCAACACAAACTCACCACAAATACCATTTCAAGGAAACTTTTTTTTTAATTCCATTTCACCCCAATGCAATTTCCTACATTGCCCTAGATGCACCAAAACCCAAATCTTCAACAAAACCTTTCAAATACTTTCACTTCCATGCCACAAACAACCACACAAACCACCACCCACACAACCAACACAAGAAAATGTTCCCGAAACACAAGCGAGAGGCAGTCAGAAAGGAAGAGGGAAAAGGAAAAGGAAAGGTAATACAATAATGGAAAGTGAAGAAGAACCTCTACTATGGTGGACACTGGAGGAGGAGTACGTGTTGGCGGTGGCGTGGTGCGGTACTTCAAAGAATCCAACCGTAGGAAATGATATGCGAAGAGTTAGGTTTTGGGAAGCCATGCTTGGAAAATTCCATGCGATTTTGAAGAACCTACCATATTATAATATCGATATGCTAAGTAGCAAGTGGACTCCAATCATTCGCCGATGCACCAAGTTTAACAAGATTACTAGAATCACAAAAGCAAAGTGATGTGAATGATTTTGATATGTACAAAGCTATGAGGGAACAATATCAAGTCAAAATGGGGCACACTTTTGAGTTGAAAAAATATGGGAGATTGCAGACAAGATCAAAAATGGATTAAGGCGAAAACATCATCGGAGGCACAATCAAAGAGGTCTCGCAATTCTAGTTCGTTTGATGTTTTCGACGCACGAACTAACATCGACCTCAACGCCGACACGGATGACATCCCTGACGACATTGAAGAGATCCCCCCCTCCATGACGACCGATCGGGCATGACAAAGCGAAACGCGCTCAACGTCACGCGGACGAAGCCGAGAGAAAGGCACAAGAGTTGGCAGAAATGAAAGCAAAGTTCGACCAACACAATCTAATTGCACAACAAAAGGTTGATGTGCAACTTGAGCACTTGCGGCTTCTTTGTAAGCAAGCGGAGGAAAATCAAATAGCGAATGATTTAACAGTTCTCCAGACTAGCGAAGAAAATATGAGACCACGACACGTGTAGGTGCTCTGAAAGATGAAGGAGATGATCGAAAAGAAAATATGTGGATGAATAGTGTATTGTTTTTATGTTTTTAAGACTATGGTTTTTTTGGCGTTCAATGTTTTTTGTGTAATGTTGTTTTGAGCTTTTAAATATTATGGTTAGTTTAAAATTTAATTAAATTGCATGTTTTATTTTTTTAAAAAATAATCTAATGTGAAAAAATAAATATAAATTGGAAATATAAAAAAAAATCAAAATTAAATAAACCGAAAAAAAATTGGAAAAAAAAAAAGAAAAAGGGGAAAATGACATAAAAGCCATTAAGTTTTCACAAAAATGTCGGTTTTACCCTTGGATGTGTTTTAGGTTCAGTAAAGCCGGATGTTTTGTATAATTTATTCATTTATACCCTTTTAGTCGGTTTACAAATAATCTATCGGTTACCGAATGCCAGTAAAAGCCTTGAGTTTTAAAAAATGTTCGGATTTACCCTTAAATTTTCAAATATGTTCGAATTTACCCTTAAATTTTAAAAAAATGTTCAGATCTACCGTTACTTTGATTGTTATTTTGATTATTATATATATATATATATATATATATATATATATATATATATATATATATATATATATTAAAGAAATGAAAGTTAGGAATAGTACCTGACCAGGGTACTGTTCCTCCGGTTACTCTTCTCTCTACCATGGTTGCGCTTCCAGATCCTTCCCACCGATTGTTCTCCACCGCCTTATCTCATGTATTTGTTTTTTTTTTCTCACTGCCTCCATCGGATGCTGATACGCTCTCCACCGGTTTAGCTGCCGGCTCCAATACCGCCTGTTTGGAGCCGGAGTTGCTTGAGACTCGCCGCCTATCCCTTTCTCGACTTCCACCTATCCCTTTCTCGACTTCGATCAGGTACGTCACTCTTCAAGGTACGTCACTCTTTAAATTCTGATTTAGGTTTCTTCCGATTTTGGGATTTCCACGATAGTTATCAGTCGATTAAAATTGTTTACATGTATGTGGTTTAACTAGGTTTCTAATTTTCTGCAGAGGCAATTTTAGACAGCGATTATGTCAAATTTCAGCATACAGTGGTGTTTATGGAACATTTATGTATACCTCGATGACCCGACCTACTTCGTCGCCGTCGCGGTCCCCAACGCTACAACTTTGGTCAGTTTTGATTTCATTTGGTTTTGATACCAAACCGATACTATGTTTCTTGATTTGAATCAATTTTTTTTTGTTATTTTTGTGTTTTAGGTTCTAAAATTTGTCCATGGTCGATAGATAATCTTTATGTAAACCTTTCTCATGGTATTGTTCATGTGAATGGCATAAGTGAAAGTAAGATGCTCAGGGTCCTTCAGGCACATTTTTTGTTTTTACATTTTCTCTTTTGACCTAAAAGAAGTGCTTTCTGAGATGATGTAATTTACAGGGAATAAAACTATCCTCTCGGAATCAGCTCCATGTTGATTTTCAGAATGCTCTTTGAAACAAGGTTGTAACTGTCCTTTGGTGAGCTGGTGAAACTTTACTTACTGTGACTGAATCTGTGACATGTGTTTATGCAGGCATTCTTTTGTCATGAGAAGATTAAGAGGCAAATTGATGATATCCAAACAAGGTAAGTCTTCATTTTTTTTGTTTTCATTTATTGGTTTTAGTAGACTCAATTTGTTGGCATATCATCTCATATATATCTTATTCCACAAATTTTCATAATTGGCACTTGACCAATTTTTGAGAAGTCATAAATTATATTGAATTTGGATTTCCAAATTTAGACTTAATAGACAATATGTTAGAGAAATCGGAAAAACATTATGAGAAATGGTATTAGTTTTTGAAACAGGTTGGAGGTTAGACGATTTTTATGACCTTTGACTCTTTTTAAGCGTCTTGACTTGTACAATTTCTTAAGATATGCAATCAGGTGATGTTAATATGTAATTACATGTATAACAATTGAGTGGAGTTTTCTCAAGAAAGAAGAAACTTGAAAGCAAAATTCTGAAAGATTTTCATTCATGCAAGTTTGGTTTCAGGTATAGCTAATTAGCTACATGTAAGGGCAGATTGGTAAAGAAAGTCAACCTACTAAAGTATCTAATCTGATGCCATAAGAAACTTTTTGCAGTATTCTTTCAGGTAATTTTGTTTCGCGGATATGAATAACAGGTTAAGCTTTTAAATATCTGAAAACATTCCAAGTATATTATATGAATTCATGTATTATAAAAAATATTGATGATTATATCTAATTCACAGGTCAGGGATGAAAGGAGATGACAGAAAAGGAATGGATAGGATTCACTTGATTTAATCAGGTTCGTAACTTCATATGTGATCTTTTTTTTTTTTTTAGACATACACCTTTTGGTGGCATAAAATGGCAACCATAATATATATGCTAATTTTATTTTGTTGTTTCTCACTTTTTAAACAGGGAAGGAAAGTATGGTTATATTTTTATATTATTATTACATTAATTATTTCTTTAATTAATTAATGGTTTTACTTGGAACATTTAAAAAATTAAAGTTTTAAAATAATATAACTACCTGTAAGAAAATTTGTTACAGGAATGGTGTTCTAACTTTTTACTATATCTTGGTGATAATTTACTCTTAATAGTTTTGATCAATTATCATATATAATTATAAACATATTTTATTATAATAGTATAATAGTATTAATAAAAATTAAGAAATATGGATGAAAAAGTTTTTGTTTGTTTCATGCCAACTAATGAAAAGTAATTAGTCAACTTTTAAGTGGTCAGATCATCACAATCAAAATTATATTATCTAAGACATTAAAACATGATTATTGTGATTTCAATTCGTAATATAGTCATTATTCGGGGACCCATGTCGTAAACAAAATAAGAGGACGTGACTGAACTGTTTGTAGAATTGAATTGAATCAAATCAACTTTTAAAACTTGATCCGATTTTTAAGAATGTGCTACTTTCATTGTTATCACACAGAAATAGTATGTTATTGCCATGTTTATGGAAAATATAACATGCAACTTTCATTTTTTTTTTTTGACAAATAGCATGCGACTTTTGTTTTTATGTCAAAAAAGGATGTCACCTTCATTGTTATGACAAACATAGCATGGTATTTTCATTTATTCTACAAAAATAACTCATACGCAAATAGATGAAAATACTTTGTTATCTAAGATCATATGATGGTTCACATTCTTTCACTCATTTGGGCCATCTTTACTAAAAGTCTTCAGACTTTGTATTAGAGTTCATTACTTAGATGAAATGGCTTATCAATTCGTATTTGCATTTTTTTTTTAAAATGTTATCTACCTTCTTAAACTTTTTTAAGTTGTTCAATTGTGCAGGTTAAGGTGATGAATAATGGATAGGGAGAAACAATGTAATAAAGAGTCTCTCCATAGGTTGTTGATGCTTTATGGTTAGTAGTTGTATCTAAGTTACGACTATTATCCGTTTGTAAATAGGTGAAATGTAGGGAGAATAGAAACATACTTTACTGCAGCTACCAATTGAGGCAATGTACAATACTTTCACACAAAAAGCGACACGTTCCAACCCCCGCAACGCGCGGGACACTCATCTAGTTATTATTATTATTATTATTATTATTATATATGTTTAATACGTTTTTAAATGTACAAAAATATTTTATACGTATATTTTTAAATCCGTTTTTAAATGTATAACAATATTTTTATTGATTTCAAAATATATTTACTTCTATTTAGTATTTATATACATTTGAAAGCTAATGTATGCCTTTAAAAACGTATTTATATACAAAAATATATTTATTTGTATTTAGTAGGTATTAATATGTATGCATTTCGTGTGTGTGTGTGTGTATATATATATATATATATATATATATATATATATATATATATATATGGTAAAATACATATAAACCAAACATTTTTTTAATTCCTTGGGTGATTCATCAATCAAAACAATTTTTTTTTGGTGTTTGCTTACTAAGTATAATTATGTATTTTTTTTCATATTTATATGTATACAGTAGTTTTTATAACAAATAAATTCATATTTACATCTATTAAATATAATTTAATTCAAATAAGTATATCTACTAAATACAAACAAAAACATATTTATAAATTTTAAAACTTATTTATACAATTAAAAATATTTTTATTTTTATTTAATAGATATAAATATGTATTTATTTTGTATAAAAACTACCGTATGCATATAAATATGAAATGAATATATATTTTTACTTAGTAATGTGTACAAATACATATAATTATATCTTTTATACAATATAAAGCTTATAAATATGTGTTTTTATATTTATATGTTTACAATATTTTTTTATATGAAATAAATATATATTTATGCCTACTAAATACAAATAAATACTTTTTAATATATAAATACGTTTTTAAAGGAATAAATATGCTTTCAAATGTATATAAATACTAAATACAAGTATATATATTTCTAAAAATATATTTGAATTAATAAAAATATTTTTACACATTTTTATATTTAAAAATGTATGTATAAAATATTTTTATACTTGTAATAATAATAATAATAATAATAATAATAATAATAATTCAAAATAACAATCAAAGTAAGGGTAAATCCGAACATTTTTGAAAACTCAAGGTTTTACTGTCATTAGGTAACCACGCTACCTGGAAACTAGCTAAAAGGGTATAAATGAACAAATTAAACAAAACATCCGGTTTTACTGGACCTAAAACACGTCCAAAGGTAAAACCGATATTTTTATGAAAACTTAAAGGCTTTTATGTCATTTTCCAAAAAAAAAGAGATGACGACATTTATATGTTGCCCATTTCCTCAATTTGGTGTTCTAACACCATATTGACATGTTATGTGAGGTGACAACTTTTGGGTGTAATAATACCCCTTAACTAATTGCCCACACCCACTAGTCTAATTTGTTATGCGAGAGAGACCGTAGGAGAGCACCAGTCAGTGCGTGCGTGTCTTGTGTAATCTGATAAGCTACATCCTTTCTTGCATCATATATACCCGGGTCACCCAAGTATCCATGGATCACAAGGATCCGTGCTTCCAAACCAAGATCTTTCACATAAACGAGCCACAACCCAACAGAATATCATAAGCACACAAATAGTCCCTTTTACAATAACTATTAAAAATTCTAGCACAAAGAACTTACACTTACTACCCTGTCAACAATATAAATTAAATTTAAGTAACAATAATCAAATAATAAGATTGAAGCATTATAAAATTACATATTATGCTGAAAACATTTTAATGACTTTGTCAACATGTCAACATTTTGATCAAAAGAGTTTATTTTAACCATTTTTAAAATTTCATTAGTTATTTTTTCTCTAACAAAGTATAAATCGATTTCAAAATGTTTTGTCATTTCATGAAAAACTATGTTTAAAGATAGTTCTTTGGTAGAGTCATTATCATAGAATACAAAAACTAGGGTTAAGTTTATTTTCAAAGATTAAACAAAATTTTCAACATCCAAATTGTTGAGAGCGACTGTCTAATGAGAGGTCGAAAGTTGTTTTGGTCTGTATAGATGCGAAGTCCGGTACTGCACAGTATATGTATTTTGCAAGGCATTTGTTGTGTAATATTTTCACGTCTAGTCCTTGCATATTTTTTAAATGTCTGTATCGGCTTATAAATAGGGTTAGTATAGAAGTAGGGAGATAGCTTTTGGGCACCTTCGTTCTTACTCTCTCTCTCTCTCTCTCTCTCTCTCTCTCTTGTACTTTTGTAATCTTTCAGACAAATCAACGAGCCAAATAGAACTTATTTACGATTGTGTTCTTAATGCTGGCTGTTATTGATTTTGTTCTGTAAACTCAATTCAAACACTCTTCAATTGGTATCAGATTAGGATACATTCAGTCACTACAATTTTCTCATCTTTTTCAATATCAATCAGATTGATAGATCGAGTGTTTCCTGATCGTTTTCTGGTTGATTCATTCATTAGATCTCATTTCTGAATTCATTCGTCACTTTTGTCCCTACGAAAATGGCGAATTTCAACATGAACACCATGTCAACCTTTTCTCATCTTCTTGGAACTTCCACTAAGATTCCAATGCTTATTCTGGAGTATTATGAGCAGTGGGCAGATCGAATGGAAGATTATCTCAATGGAATTGACGAAGATCTACGGCGATGTGTTACTAGAGGAAATTATCGTCCTGAAATGTTTACTCAAGTTGGAAATGCAGGTTCATCCACCGGTATGGCAACACAAAAGGAAAAGTATGAGGCTAATGATAAGAAGTGTCTTCGTGAACTTTGCGGTGCTCTTCCACCGGTTGTTTACAACTATGTTCGAGGATGCAAGACCGCAAAGGAAATTTGGGATACTCTGAAAGAAAAGTATCAAGGAAGTGAAAAGACCAATAAGAGTTCTATGAAACAATGCCTGTTGGGGTTACTCGAACAACTCTTGAGTACAACCTTACCTTTCTGATGGGGCTAAAAAAGAAGTGGAGAAATATAAGTTTGATGATCAAAACTCAACAGAGTTTTGATGGATACTCTTTGGGTGATCTATACAATGTGCTCAAGGCTCATGAAAATGAAATCAATGAGATAACAGAGGAAGGAAAGTTGGGCATTGGTGGACCTTTAGCATTAATGTCAAAAGTGAATGCAAAGGAATCTGAGATCGAAATTGGCGATCAAGAAAATTCTAAAGAAGAAGGATTCTTAGTAAACTCTGAGGATGAGGTTGTTGCTTACTATTCTAACAACAAGGTGAAAAAGTTATTCAAGAAGCCTTTTAATCCAAAGTACAAAAGCAACAATGAGTTCAAAGGGAAAAACTCACCGGCAAAAGGTGTGAAGGTGGATTTGAAGGAAAAAAAGAAGGAAAATAAGATCGTTGTTGAGAAGAGTGAGAAAACGCTGAAGGGAGATTCATGATTTAATTGTAACTATTGCAATGGTGCAAACCATCTTGAGAAAGACTGCACGCTGCGAAAGAAGGAAGAGAAGAAGGAGAGAGTAAAAGATGAAGCTTATTATGCTGAGAAAATAGACGAACTGAGAGCTCGAAAAGACCGATTTGTTTATGCTTTATTTGAAAATCAGAGTATATTTTTAAAGAAATATATTGCGGAATTTGTTCCAAAAAATATGATAAAGAATTTATCAAAACATTTCCGTAGAAATGTATTATATTAAAAACCTTGGGATATCATTGTTAATACAGATCAAAAGCATAAACATAAACAACATAGGCATTATAATATCTATTTATTTTAGTGGCGTATAATCTATTGATCTCTCATCAAATTATCACTCCTGTGCCCTCTTTCCACTACCTGTATATGAGAAAACTGAGTGGGTCAGGCTTGGGAGCCTGGTGAGCACATAGGGTTTTCAACCCACAATAAATAAATTTATTAATTTCATCAAACCAAACAATAACCCGATTACCCCTTCCCGGTATCCTCACTTTACGTCCCTAAAACACCTATCATAAGGGACCCTAACCTAAGGATTATCATCGGGATGGACACTACTGATAAGGGGTTTTCTCAATGATAAATGTTCGTAAGGAAACCATGAGGGGGATAGAGTACACCTGTGAACACATCATTGCTAGCGTTCCACTAGATTGTCTAGAAAAGTCAGTGGTCGTCATCTATACTCTGCTAGATGATTGAATTAACAACAACATCGAGGCCTCTCATCATTTTATTTCATCACTCATTAACTTATTTTATCTACCAATGTTTTACCCCAACATATTTGTAGATATAAAATACATATACAGTTTAAATCATTTAAAACATGTATAAAACGCTCATCCAACATAGATATTAGGTAAACAGATAATATACACACATAACACGTAATTTATATAAAATACTTCATATCTACGTGTAAGATGAAAGTAAATATACACTCACATTAATAACGTGATTTGATAGAATCTAACTAAAAACGGTTAGATGCCTGACATTGTCAGGCTCGGGAAGGGAAACGACCTTCAAAAACGAGAGAGAAAGAAACTAGAAGGTGTAAGGAACGAAAGGGTCTTGATTGCTATTTATAGGCTATTCTGGGCCCATTCACGTCGTGAACTTCCATGAGTCATCCTGTAGCCTTAACACGTGTTTTCTAGCCTCGATTAGTGTCCCTGACACGTTTCACGTCGTGAACTTCATTCACGTCGTGACTTAAGGTGGTTAGGGTTTCTGCCCCGTGTCACCCCCTCAGACAGCTACATATACAGTTTAAATCATTTAAAACATGTATAAAACACTCATCCAACATAGATATCAGGTAAACAGATAATATACACACATAACACATAATTTATATAAAATACTTCATATCTACGTGTAAGATGAAAGTAAATATGCACTCACATTAATAGCGTGATTTGATAGAATCTAACTAAAAACGGTTAGATGCCCGACATTATCAGGCTCGGGAAGGGAAACGACCTTCAAAAACGAGAGAGAAAGAAACTAGAAGGTGTAAGGAACGAAAGGGTCTTGATTGCTATTTATAGGCTATTCTGGGCCCATTCACGTCGTGAACTTCCATGAGTCATCCTGTAGCCT